AAATTTCCAGAGTTGGTCGTGGTTTATTTACGAGCTCACTTTTGCGCATGTTTTGACAATGCCTTCATATTTAGACCCAGGAACTGACTTGACAGTACAGAAACTGGTTTGTGATTAGGTTTGGGTGTGTTGAAACTTTGTACAGTTTTGCGTCCGAAGTTTGTTGGAACACCAATTCTGGATTGCGCAGGATCCCGACAGTACATAAACCAATTTGCTATTATGTTGGAACAAACCTTTTTAAACCCCAATACTGACAGTTCGTTATTACTAATGTCATTAGTGTTATTTTAAAAAATTCTTGTCAATTTTTTAACATGACCTTTAGTCGTGAATAAGAGAAGTATTGCAAATGGTAAATAAAAAATAAATAAAATCTGTCAAAATAACATTTAATAGTTAGAATAATGTGGGTATTTTGTGAAGTTTTTGGTTGCTTTTTTCTTTCTTTTTTTACCGAATGTAACAGTCTTATTAAGTATTGTCAAATACTTATTCAGTCGATAATAAATTACAGCTGGTAAAATTCTAATTACTAATAATAGTCTGTTTTTTGTCATTTAAATTTAAAAACATCCCAAAATGTCAGAATATTATATTTGGAGGTTGCAAACCTGTCTGTCATGTTTCTTGCTTTATGATAGATGTCAAAAGTCTTTATTATTGTCAATTGTCATCTGAGTTTTAATAGAGTTGTCTCGTTTGAATAACGATTTTATTTTATGTATTGAAAACCATTCTTGTTTCTTAAAGTTAATAAATAAGTTAATACATCTTTGCTCTCATTCCACATTTTAACCTAACACAAAATTATTAATTTTAGGTATGCTAACTCAAATGAAAGTATAATTAAGATATTTTTTAATGGTGATATAAAGTACACTGGCAAATTAAAAAAAGAATAAAAAAATGAGAAAATGATGCGTTTGACCTTTGACTTACCCTGTACAGATCTGTTTTGATTTGAAAAACAGTGCATTGGCATAAATGTTGACTAATATGGAAATACTTTTACTGCAAAAAAAATTGGTTTTCAATTGTTTCTTTTGTAGTCATATAAAACTGGTTATCAAGTGTGAAATACCCTGTATAATCCCATACATTTGGGAAATGTGAGGGCAATTCCATTTCATTAAAAAAAAAACAAAAACTAACTTTGATATGTATCAGTTTCTTGGCCAGAGATGCTAGCTGCGAGCTTAGTGTGCAACCACATACTCGCAACAGTTAAGCAGTGATCTCTCCGGTCACGTCGTAGATGATGACCACTGGGAGGTTCCACCATGGGCCATGTCACCATGGAACTCAGACTAGCAGTTAACCATCGACGACGTGGAATGAATGACGATGAATGATGGGAGTGAAATGCGAATGTGAATGAGAAAGTAGTAGGACCTTCAAATGGTGGTACAATAAGCCGCCGGCTGCAATGCCGCCAAGCTACAGAACGGGGTTCGAAGGGTGTAAAACTAAAAAAATGACTTTCCTGGAGAACCCTGCATAATTGAAATTATTTTTAAATGGTTGCCTTTTCTGATGTAGAGCACTGTTGAAATAGATTTTACAAGAAAGCAATTCGTTTTGGACCTACAGACCGAGCCGTTACCGGTGACCTAGATAAATGAAAAAAAAAAAAGGCCAATTTAAATCTCTAAAAAACAAATAAAAACAAAAAAATAAAACAAAACAAAATTTAAAAAAAAAACAACCAAAAAAACAAAAAAAAAACAAAACCCAAAAAAAAACAGAAAAAAAACAACCCAAAAAAAAACAAAGAAAAAAAAAACAAAAAACAAAAGGCCAATTTGAAAAACTAAATATATATATAACGGTTAAAGTGTTTACTTGGCTAGTTTATAGACTAGCTGGATAGTATACAAACTATCCAAATGTCCTGCTATTTTGATGGAAAATCATATTTCTACTAAAATAGCTATGAATATTGGTTGGTTTGTATACTAACCAGCTAGTTTACAAACTATACAATATTTATCGCCATAGTACAAACCACAAGAAAAGTACACACATTAACCGACATTTTTGGCTAGTTTACAAACTATCAACAGTATTTGGATAAAGTGTGAACTAAATATTCGTAGTAATACATAATAACCAGCTCGTCGGTTAGTATGTAAACTAACCAATTCTCTTCGGTTAATTTATTAGAAAAGTGAGGTTATAGTTATGGCAAGTGTGTGTTATTATTGTTTACTACTGTGGTGCCTTGTGAAATTTGTTTAAAAAGAGGTAATTAAAAATTAATCAACAGCAACAATTTGAAAACCTACTTTTGGAAGTTTACGAACAAAAGTCGCAAAATTCAAAAAAATTAATGAATGACAGTGATTAAAGTGAACTTTTGCAATTTATAAAAAGAATACGCGAAACTGGACCTAACACGAGTAACAAAAATTATTATTACGTGGTAAATACTTATGATTTATAGAGAATCGATTCATCTTATGTAATTTTACATAAAAAATCTGAAAAGATTATTTTACGTTTGAGTGAATGTTATGATGCCATTAAAGCTACCCATCAGGGAACTGGGCATGGAGGTCGTCAGGCAATAACATAATTATTAAATAAAAAGTATTATAACAATACAGGAAACGGTTAAATTATTTATTGAAACTTGCGAAACATGTCAGCTCAAACAGATCAAAACTAAGAAAGGTATTGTTGTGAAACCAATTGTTTCAAATCATTTAAAGGCTCGGCGCCAAATCTGTCTCATTGACTTACAAACTAGACCGGATGGTGACTTCAAGTTTATTTTTGTCTATCAAGACCACCTAACCAAATAAGTCAGGTTGAGAGAACAAAGAAGGCTAGAGAAGTAGCTGAACACCTATTAGAAGTATTTGCAGACCTAGGGAGCCCTTACGTGTTTTAGAGTGACAACGGCCAAAAATTTGCAAATGAGGTTGGTGTTTTTCCAATATGTAGGTATAGAGTGGCCAAAAAACAAATAAAATTTAATCTAAATTCCTAGAATGAAATTATTTAAACAATCAATAATCTTTATTTAAATATATGAATGAAGTACCCAAGGCAAAATCGAATAGTGGTTCAATGGATAAATGTTCACTTGCCATGCGGTCAGTCCAAGTATTTTTTAAGTTAAATTAGGTGCCAATATATTTATTTTTTCCAACAAAAATAATAATAATTTTTGTTACTCGTGTTAGGTCCAGTTTCGCGTATTCTTTTTATACATTGCAAAAGTTCACTTTAATCACTGTCATTCATTAATTTTTTTGAATTTTGCGACTTTTGTTCGTAAACTTCCAAAAGTAGGTTTTCAAATTGTTGCTGTTGATTAATTTTTAATAACCTCTTTTTAAACAAATTTCACAAGGCACCACAGTAGTAAACAAATATAAAACACACTTGCCATAACTATAACCTCACTTTTCTAATAAATTAACCGAAGAGAATTGGTTAGTTTACATACTAACCGACGAGCTGGTTATTATGTATTACTACGAATATTTAGTTCACACTTTATCCAAATACTGTGGATAGTTTGTAAACTAGCCAAAAATGTCGGTTAATTTGTGTACTTTTCTTGTGGTTTGTACTTTGGCGAGAAATATTGTATAGTTTGTAAACTAGCTGGTTAGTATACAAATCAACCAATATTCATAGCTATTTTAGTAGAAATATGATTTTCCATCAAAATAGCAGAACATTTGGATAGTTTGTATACTATCCAGCTAGTCTATAAACTAGCTAAGTAAACACTTTAACCGTAACATATATAAAAAAAAACGAAAAGAAAAATGTGAAATGAAAAAAAATGCGAAACAAAAAAAAAAGAATGCGACACAAAAAAATGCGAAACAAAAAAAAAAGAACGAAATCAAAAAACAAATTAACAAATAAAATTTAATTTTAATCCTATCAAACATGAAATCAATGTACATTATAAAATTTTAAAAATGCAAATTTTAATTAAAGACCGATTTCATAATCATTATTAAAATGTCCATTAAGTAATGATGCCAGTAAGTCCATAAAATCTTGGTCCCAATAGTCAATATTTAATATTCATTATGAAATCGACCCTTGATAAAATTTACATATTTCATGTGTGAGTAGAACTAAAACTGAAAAATCTCGGAAATTAACTGTTCTACCAGATATCAACCGCGAGTGACCAACTGTGTGAGGAATAATTATAAATCTTAACTTTTATGAAATATAGCGTGTTCAAAAAGTAAGGAATAAAATTGTTTTCTTAACCCCTGATTCTACCCCAATGGGTTATCGTAATTTATGGAAATAGAGTGTGTTAACTAATAATTACGAATAACTCACATATACATATTTTTAAGTTTAAGTCTTTACCATAAATAAGGGAAGATATTTAGAAAACTATGATTTCATGAAATTCACTTTAACACCCTGTACAATGAAAACTGGGACGTTCACAGAAAAATTATATTTAGTTTTTACTAATCATTAGTTAAGATCTACAAGTACCTCAGTTTACTAGACTTTATTCTGAAACATCCTGTATAAAAGAAAAGAAAGCAAACAAAAATTTAAAAAAATAACGAAAAAATAGAGGAAACGAAAAAAGGAAACGATAAAAGGGAAAGAAAAACCTACCATGTTGTTTGAATTCCTTATTCAAACCGGGAATTCCGTATTTGAACAAGCAAATATGGAATTGCGTGTTCGCAAAGTCCTTATTCGAATACAAAATACCGTATTCAAACAAGGATTTCCGTATTCAAACAAGGAATTTCGTATTAAAACAAGGAATTCCATATTCAAACACAGAATTCTGTGTTAAGCATACAATTTCAGAAATAAAAAAGTGCTCCTTCTACGCTGCCGTAAAAAAAAAACAAAAAAAAAAACAAAAAAAAAACAAAAAAAAAAACAAAAAAAAATAAGAAAAATAAAGAAAAAATTAAACCAGAAAAAATAAGTGAATAAATTAATTGTACTAGACAAATGTAACAGAAAATATTAAAATTAGAACTCACCTAAAGTATTCTTTGTGAATATGTAATAGAGGATCCTATATGCGACAAATTCATTTCTATTCTCGCCTCCGATTTCGTTATATAACATTTTTAATTGCGTTTGACACTGATTGAATTCCTCGTGATCGCCCTTTTCTAAAGCGATTCGCGCATGCGTTTCATAAACTTCTACCGTGAAATCATTTCTAACACCTTGCACCTGGAAATTAAATTGTCATATTAACCCAAAAACGATCTAAAAATTAAAGTTTTAGCACAAAACTAAAGTGTCTCCGATCCACTGTGGTCTATTGTAGTGGTAGAAATTATTCTAGAAATATATTGGCAATTCGGAATTTAGTATTCAACTTCTGGATTTTACGGGTGCTTTCAAATAAAATCTGAATTTTTTATTGAGAATTGGCATCTAAACGTAGTTTTTTGCCACAGACTTTTGTAAACTGAGTAATTATTTATATTTTCTTTAATAATTAAGTTATATATTTTCTCATCAAGTAAACTTAATAAAATAGAAATACTTGATGAAAAAAGGATATTTAGTGAAGAATGTTTTTTAAGAAAATCTGAATTATGAGAATTACGGAGGTTACAAGAAAAAATGAGGTGGTTGATATCAGCAAAATCAGAATTGTCGCATTGACAGAAAGGCGATATATTAATACCAATTCTGGAAAGGTGTGATGGAAAACCCCCATGATTCAGTTTCATTATTATTAAAGTCATACAATAATACCTAGACATTTTAAAATTTGTAAAGTGGGGAATAGATTTTGGAAGAACAGGATGAATAAATGTATACGGGTTATTTTAATGAGCAACAAAGTGTTCCCAAAGTTTCTCCCAGCTTGATCTAGCAATTCATTTCATTACATGAATAATGTCCTGTGGAGAATGAATATTACTAATAGTTGGAAGAAAAATGGATTTTTTAGCAGCTAAATCGACTTTTTCATTTCCAACTATCCCTTTATGACTTAAACCAAATGAAAACGATCTTGATTTTAGAATTATGAAGAGAAATGAGACTGAATAATTTCTCTTATAATAGGATTTTTGTTAATATTGCAGGAATATTTAGAAATTGAAAGTAAAACAGATCTTGGGTCTGAAAGAACAACCGATTTGCTTTCTCCACAGCTTTTTATCCAAATGAGTGCTTGTAAAATTGTAAAAGCCTCCGTTGTATAAACAGATGAATAATTTGGTAAACGAAATTGAGAAATAAAGTTTTCATTTTCCACATAAAAATCGCATTCTGTATCTTATTTTCCTTTAGACCATCGCAAAAATAGTATTAACTGTATCTAGCGTTCCCACTACCGATTTTATGATTATATTATTAATTTTAGGGGAAGTATTAAACTCAGGGAATAAGATTGTTGACTTAAACAATAAGGAGAAAAAATTAAACTATATAGGCTTCAGCCAAAGGTGGATTGTTTTTCAATTTCCAATATTTATTGGTTAGGTTTTCAATATTCTGGATAAAAGAAGAATTTAGTATTTTTTCAGAAAACATTTTAAATGTAACTAACTTTTTACATGCTAGAAAATATCTTTGTAAGTGAAGAGGAGGCTCTTGTGTTTCCGCAAGAACCGCTGGGGCTGGGGAAGATTTAAAAACACCGAGACATACGAGGACTGTCTAAAAAGTATCCGACCTTTGGCTAAAAAAAATATTTCGAATAACGATCCTTCCACTGCTGGAAACACCTCTGGAAGTCTTCTTTTGGAATGGTGTTCAGCTCCGTCGTCGCGTTCCGCATTATCTCTTCTCTACTCTCAAAACGAGATCCTTTCAGTGGTGTCTTCCACCAGAAGTCGCAAGGATCCAGGTCTGGAGAGTAGGGAGGTTGGCGAACGGTTGTAAGTCCATGTTTGGCTAAGAAAGTGTTAATTAGTTGGGATGAATGTGCAGGGGCGTTGTCATGATGCAAGTTCCAGTTGTTCGCCGTCTACATGTCTGGTCTTTTGCGCCGCACTGCGTCATTGAGTCGCCGGAGAACATCTTGATAGTACCCCTTTGTCACTGTTTGTCCTTCCGGTGCGTATTCGTGATGCAAAATTCCACGGACATCAAAGAAAACAGTCAGCATCACTTTGATTTTGCTTCGCACCTGACGCGCTTTCTTCGGCCTTGGAGAATCGGAATGCTTCCATTGCGACGACTGTCTTTTTGTTTCTGGGTCGTACCCGTACACCCATGACTCATCTCCAGTTATCACGGTGTTCAGAAACCCAGGATCAGTATTGGCGGTGTCCAGAAGGTCTTGTGCAATGTCAAAACGAAGATTTTTTTGTTCCGGCGACAACAACTTGGGTACGAATTTCGCAGCCATCCGGTACATGTTCAAATCTTCACGCAAAATTGCATGTGCAGTATCTTTACTCACTCCAACCTCTTCTGCAATCTCCCGCACTGTCAAACGACGATCTGCCATTATCAAATTTCGCACCCTTTCAACATTAGCTGCACTCCAAGCAGTTTGGGGCCTGTCACAACGCTGCTCACTCTCCGCTGATGTGCGGCCATCTTTGAATCGGTTGAACCACTCCTTAATTTGTGTTACATCCATCGCATCTTCTCCAAACACCTGCTGAATCTTACGAATTGTTTGGCTTTGAGAATCACCTAGCTTTTGACAGAATTTGATGCAGTATCTTTGCTCAATTCGTTCAGTCATCTTGCGAGAAAACTAAATCCGACGAACACTAAGAACAGAACCTTACTTGGTTACCAGCAGCCAGCGACTTGCACAAGCGAACGCGGTGAAAAAATTCAAGCATGCGCACTAAGGTTCCTCCTTCCACCGTGCACAATGGAGCCGCCTTAGAATCACTACTTTGCGCGGAAAAAATTAAGGTCAGATACTTTTTAGACAAGCCTCGTAATTTGACTGCTTTATCTTGCATACAATCTAATAACTTAAGGCTTGAGTTCGCAGCTGATCCATATAGTATGCACCCATAGTCGATGATTGATCGGATGTAAAATCTATAAAACATTAACGACGTTGTTGTGTCTGCACCCTATTTAAATTTTGTGACATTTAAGAATAGTAATGCCTCTCACATTTGGATAAAGTATAGTCAATATGCCTTTTTCATGTAAGCTTATTGTCTAAGACAATTCCTAAGTATTTGAAGGGACTTACTATTGGACGAGATATTGTATTAAACTTAATGACTTCTCCTGTAATCAGCCTGTGACGGGTACAAACCATCACACCTAATTTATTTGCAGCTAGGGAGAAACCATGAATTAATAACCAGCTTGTAAGGCAATATATGACATATTTAAGATCTACAACACAATCGTGATAAGACTTACTGCTGAATAAATACATAAAACATCCGCGTACTGAATAGACTTAATCGGTTGATCGAAGATCTCTTGCAAGCTTGCAGTGTAAATATTGAAAAGAGAGAGACTAAGAACGGATCGTTGAGAAATACCCTGGTTGACAATTCTATGGCCATGCAGAAGGTTATAGTGATCTCTGATATATACTTTCCCGTTTCTAAATAATTCAATATTGGCAGAGGCTTTTGTATCAAAACCATCAAAACCGTAATAGGAGTTTTGTTTGCAAGATGTTCAAATCAACTGACTGCATCATATGCCCCTTTTAATCTAAAAAAAATACACTTGCTTTGTATTCATTTTTTGAGAATGAATATTGAATGTGATTAACTGAGTACAGGCGTCCAAAGTACCTTTAGGGTATGGTCCGTTATTAACCGAAATATAACTTAGTCGGTCCAAAACTAACAGATCTGCTTGACATTTCTGAAAAATCGGTTAAATTAGGGACGTGGTTACCTGAAAATGGTGACTTAAACGTCAATTCACTAACCGCTATATTTTTAGGGTTACTATTAAGTTGAATGTCAATATGTCACAAAAGTGACGTAAATCCCGAGCGTAATCCTAATGTATGTTATGTTGATAATGGGGTGTTAATACACTGCGACCTAAAAGATCTATTGTGCCCCCTTCTGTCGCCACTGCACTAAGGAAATGTCTCAATGCCTATAGCGACCCTTCCAATCCTATTTTCTCAAGGAAGTGTAGGATTTGAAGTGGCTTCAAGTTAGGTAAGTCTCCCTCTTCTATTTGATATCCTCCTAGATATAGTGCCCTTGGATTCTGGGGTGCTACACATTCAGTTAGGATGTGAATGGAGGTTTCGTCCTCCTCCTCACAGAATCTGCACTCACTATCCTTTACTACTCTCAGTTTACTTAGGTGTCCTTTTAGTCGGCAGTGCCCGGTAAGTATCCCTGTTACAATACGTAGCCTGTTCTTGCTCAGGCAGATGCAGGCTTCCGATCTTTTTTGGTTATATTCACCCAGAAGTATCTTGGCCTGTCTCAGCCCCAAGAGATTGTTCCAATTATCGGTTCTTCTACTACCCAATTCTTTTTTAATCTCTTCTAATATTATGTTACTGCTGATACCGCAGAACGGCTCAGGTCCTACAAAGGGTGTTTGAGCCCCTTTCCTTGCAAGACTATCTGCAATCTCGTTACCCTGTACCCCGTTATGTCCCGGGACCCAAGTGAAAGTAACTCTATTTTTCTCGCCTAGCTTATTTTTCTCGCCTAGCTCATTCAATTGTTCTAGGCATCTCCATACCATTTTTGAGCTGATTACGTAAGAAAATCCTAATGTAACCAAGAGATTAGTTATTTTCAGGAACATCTGTCAAAAAATCCTGGTTGTTTGCGGTTAGTAGTCGGTTAATACGCTAGTTCAGTGAAGATGTAATTATGGTTCCACTGACAATTAAAGTGACAGTAAATTTTTTGAGTGCGTTTTGTTCGTTTCGTTTACCTAAATTATATCGTTTTTTTCACTTTTATAAATATATATTCCTAAAGTAAGTAGATAGCATGTATCAAATATACAATCGTTTAGTTACCAATTACATGCCTTTAAACTATTTTTTATGACCTGTAAACAATATTGTGAAATAAAATAAAAACAGTAAAAACGTATATGTCAAATTTATTGATGTTTTTGTTAAAAGTTTGGTTAGAATTAAATGTCAGTGGAACCAAAATGACATCACACTGAATTAGCGCATAACGGACCATACCCCTAGACTTACGAAATCCGTACTGGGAACTAGGTAACAGAGAGTTATGTTCAAAATACCATTCTAAACGACGTTTAACAATTCTCTCAAAAGTTTT